CATGATTCGGGTCTCACGAGAATACATCTACCTTTGTTTGGTTCGAGTTGAAAAAAAAAACTCTTCTTACAATATGTAATGAGCAATATGCTACTGAACTTATATGTGCAAATATTATGTATATAGGGTATTGTACATTGGCCTGGATAATGTGTAATGTTGTACCTGTTTTGATATTTCACTTCGAATACTTAATATAATTATAATTAAAAATTAATATCAACATGCTTCAAATATAGTATCGTATCGATTAATGTGGAGTAATTAAAAAATCATCCGTCTATGACTTGGTGTGTCACTTAGGATTTAACTACGTCACAGTGCGTCAAGCCGAGTTTACCGTCCCACCCACCTACGTTTCTTGCCACGTGTCGTTGAAATTGACCGCCTCCTCACAACCATTGCTTTTTCATCAGCTAATTTTTTCCGTTAACGAGTGTGAAGACACAATGTTTTAGTTCAATTCATTATCGATGTGAAATTTAATATGATATTTTTCTATTGTCCCCGTACAATGGGCTTTGTACATCCTTTTTACTTTCATAAGCGAAATTTTGGACAAATTTAAAACCACCTTAAAAGGAAATACGCTAGAGCATTTAGTTGTTACATCAATATCCTCCCCATAAACACTTTTAATCGTTTCTGGAGTTACAGAAATCATTCAGGTTATGCGTCCAACTCGGGACCGCTTATATATCATTATCTGAACAGATAAACACCGTTTGAGTAAACCAGTAAACAAATCACTTGCTTGTGAATTTGGGATTAAAGTTGCGTTTTATGTAAAGTGCCTGGAAGCCTCGGTATTTTACGTGTCGTTGTTTATTCTTTGGAATATACCATGCAACTGAGCTGTATTATTTTTTTCAGCAATTAAACGCTGTACATTTAGTCAAAGCAGGAAACATAAGGTGGTGAGGGCGCCTAGACGTATGAATCGTGGGATTTCATTCAACCAACTTTATATAGCGCGTGCGTCAGATGACCGACTTATATATATTCATTTTATATTACGAGTGTAAAATGTTTTCAGGTAAAAACAAATTATAAGATACATAGACAGTTCACATCCATCAGTGCATGATGTTTTTAATAATAAATTTCCTATAATAATACTTTATAGTTTATAATAAAAGGTTTACAATTTTTACCATAATTACTTTTTGTTTATTTCAATTCAATGCCCCTGACCTATATATATAAATACAATATAATATTAATTAATATACGAAATTACTGAATAACACATCAGTAAAAGATTGCATAGTGTAACTATTGCAGAATGGATTTCCCAAATTAAAAAACATTTGTATACAATTAAACAAATATTCTGTGTGGGTGTTTGGTATACCAAGGGGATATATATAGCTGGCAGTGTTTTTTGCCAATGCATTTCCGAATCCACCACAAAATGCTGATATAAAATGTATATCAGTCTGAGTAGACCATTATAAGCTTTTTTCATTCATATAAAGATCTAAAATAATACTATATACTACCGTTCCAAATAATTCATGTACAATATGCTCTTCTTTAAAATGCACATCTACTAGAATATTATATTCTATCGAATACATAATCTTGAAGATTAACTTAAACTATGGTCCGAAAAATGCCAAAAATGTAACCAATCAGTTTGTGTATACACTCGGAATCCCCGGGTTGCATTATGTTTCTTCTCATTGAATACGTACACCGTTATCATAAGTTGCGCCCTCCAGTGACGAAGTAATTATGTGACGTGAAAAGGGCGTATCCTCGGGGGAGGAGCTACGTCACAGACGTTCCACGTTGCTAAGACGCGCACCACTGTACCATGCATTTCTATGGGCTCTGTGCGCGCTGCTGTGGAACGCCGGTCGAGCCGGTGAAAATTCGAGAAAACAACACAAACTCAACTTTGAAGTAATTCCGAACAACCAAATTTATATATGTTACACACGTAGGGCTAATCTTGTTGCACTGTTCAGAGGAGTCTCAAAAATCATCCCAAAGTACCGTTTTGTGCGAGTTT